GCCGCACCCCAAAAAATTTGAAAAATATCATATATTATATTATAAATTTTAAAATAATTTAAAATTATAGGAGTTCGCACCCCCAATTTTTTTTTAAATAATGTCAAAATTATATAGAGTAGCCCCCCCAATTTTTTAAACTATTTGATTTTTTTTTTTTGAATTAGTTAACATATATAATAATCTATTTTAAATTGCATGTATATGTATTTTTTAAATTAGGTCAAGATGAAAGCAAAATTTTAGAAACTTTAATGGGTCAAAGTGTAAAATATGAAACTTTTACAAATATATAACCTATAAGGCTTGCTGGAGAAGCTTGTTCAAACAAAGCACTAAGATTGAAAAAAGAAGAAGAAAACAACTGATCTGAGAGACTTGTTGCAATTCAAAAGAGAGAAGAGAAGCAAAGAGACGAGGAAAGAAACAGAGAAGTTTTGTTGTCGGACTTCGTCAGAGCTGGTCAGCATGGACAGTGGAACCGTGGACTCTCACTGGTAAGTTATCTGATATCCCTTCAGCTTCAATGTGATTATTTTGTTTTTAGACTGAATATTATGATTGATTGTGATTTTAGACTAAATAATGCGATTATTTTGCCATTAATTTGTTATTGGTTGTTATTGGTCACCCATAAACTGGCAGACAACTAGAAATCTTCAACCCAAGTTTTAGTTTTGGTATCCCAAACTTGACAACCCAAATCCTCAACTTCCTATGTCACCTAACCCACAATTACACTCCACTGTCAATAAATTTCGCTCCTCTCTCCAAACACTTTTATTTTACTATGCCAATTGAAAAAATAAATACACATATACTCTTTCAACACACACATTAGAACCCACCACCTCTAACATTATCTGGGTTAGCAATTGATTTTGAATTTTTTAAAAAATAAATAATAATTTAATGACAATGTGGAGCCAATGCAGGATGGTTGTTTTTTTGGATGAAATTGTGGCAGAGAGTTTGGCATAGGGTGGAGAAGCCAGGACTTGCGATGAATATCTGATAATTGTTATTAGTACAATTGTTAACTAAATATTGTGAATTTTTTTTTTAATACTATGATTTATTGTAATTGGTAGGTACTGTGTTTTGTGATTTCTTGATAATTGAATAGGCTTTTATGTTATGATTTGTTGATTTCTTCTAAGAATTTGAATAAAAATCTAAATGTTATTTTGTGCTGTCATATATTTTATGACTTTTAGGAATATGATGGAAGATGATTTTCTGGCTAGTTCCTTGATTACGTACATTAAAAAAGACATTGCTCGAGGGTTTGATGTAGACTCTATCATTCATGCTTTTGATATTATGAAAGAGCGTTGAGCTCAATTGAAGATGCCTTATTTTAGTAAATAAATGCATGTAGAAATAGTTACTACTTTTTGTAAGTGAATATGCCTAATTTTAGTAAATAAATGCATGTAGAAATAGTTACTACTTTTTGTAAGTAAATATGAGTAAAAAAATATTCTCAATTATATGATCATCTTTTGGTACTCAACTATGTTGACAAGGAATATAGTTCAGTATTTTATTGTAACATTATTGATTTTTTATTATGTTAATAAAAATTGGTATTAAATTTCAAATTTTATTGATTAGAGATTAAACGTACTTTGACTCCTAAAAATCATAATCCTGAATCCGTCCCTGCATATCAATAATCTTACTAATCACTAAATGTTATACTCTTGCTATAAATCATCGGTTCACTTCCTCCATCAATTTCTAATGCTTTTCCTCCCTGAAGTTATTCCACGTAATGTGTCCCGTCAATAGAAACAATACAAGAACAAAAAAAATTACAATATAATGTATTATTAATTCAAAAACAAAAGGGTAAATTATAAAATATTTTTTAAAATTTACTTAAAATATAATTATTTTTTGTGATTTTGAAAATTACACCTGCTTTTTAAAATTTTTAATTTCTTTAACAAATGGCTACTTTTATTAATAAATTATAAAGTTAAATAACAATTTTAAATGATATTATAAATTTATTTTAATTAATGATTTAAGTAATTTTATCATTATATAGAAGAGTCATTAGAAATTTTATTTTTTTAAATAAAAAATTAAGACAATAAGGTATTTGTAATTTTCAATCAATATTTTAAACAAACCTCAATAGGTGTATTTATAATTTACTCAAAAAGAAATATCACATTTTTTAAAATGACAAATGCTAACAAGTGTCCCCTAAACATTGTTTAATATTGAAAAATATGTAAAAAAATATATAAAAATATTAAAAAATAGGGAGATTTACCAATAAATCCCAAAATGTAAACTTATGAACCAATTAGTCCCATTTTTATTCTAGTAAACCGTTTAGTCCCATTTAATTGTGAGGGACGTAACTACCCTCATCTAACCGTTGCTCACATATACACACACACAGGTACACACACAGATACACCCACACACACACAGAGATACACACACAGATACATACACACACACAGATACACACACAGATACACACACACAAAGATACACACACAGATACACACACACACACACAGATACACACACACACAGAGATACACACACAGATACATACACACACACACACACACACAGATACACACACACAGATACACACACAGATACACACACACACAGAGATACACACATACATTACGAGGGGCATACGCCGTGACCTGGGTGGCTAACAACATCCTCCCCTTCTACCCCACCGGTCCAGCGCCTGAGGAGGAGGAGGAAGATAGTCTTCTTCCGGATCTTCATCAACATCAGGGCCATGATCAACATCATCAACATTGGTTCCATCATCAACATCAGCGATATCAACGCTATGCTCAACATCGTCAACATCAGCGCAGATCCACACCGATCCATCATCAACATCAGTGGTAGACATCATCAACATGGCGGATGGGTGAGGATCATTTTTGCAATAGCGGATGGGTCTTCTCCGACGTCTTCTTCGGCGCCTCTGTGTATAGATCTGTTGGATCTCCGATGATCTCGATCGGGTTTTCAGAAAACATGGATGCCACCGGCGTTGATGTCAGATTCCGGCAAACTCTTTGGGGTTTCGGCTGTCGGAATCTGAGTTTGAAAATGGAGATTGCATCGCCGGCGGAGAGAGAACATGAAGGAGGAGAAGAGAAATGAAATAATGTTAATCAGTAATAATGAAATAATGTTAATCAATGAAATAATGTTAAACAATCATGAAAAGGGTATTGGTGTAAAAACAAATGTAATCAAATCACATCAGTTACACTAAATATGAAAAATAGGATCAACAAGAAATAAACTTTTTCACTGATAGGACTTATCCGAACAAAAGAATAAAGTTGGGACTAATTGGTTTAATAGTTTGTGAAATGGGATTTATTGGTAAATTTTCCTAAAAAATATATTGATTTCAATAAAAATGTATTAAATTTAATAAAAATGTCTTGTATTATTTAATTTTTTTGTCTTTTACTTATCCACTAGAAATTAGCCACACCTTTTTAAAATTTCATTAATTGAGCCCACCACATCAATATAATAATATGGTGTATGTGACCTGGCCCTGTTTGGAAACTTTGTTTATTGGTTAAAAAATTCATCTAATTTTTCTAAAAATTATGTCGACATTTTCTACTTTCTGATCCGTCTTATGTGGAATAATCTAAAAGTAAAAAGACAAATAAATAAATTTAAAATTTTTTTTGTTGTTGAAAAAGTCAATATAAGCCAAAAGGCTCCATTATTTTTTTTGCTTGTTTTTTTTGGATATTTTTTAAATTTGTAAAATTCTTTTAATTTTTTAGTAAGTCTAGTCGAATTAAATTTAAAAATTTTAAAAAAATTACTAAAAATAAAAATAAATAAAATAAAAAATTTACCAAATAAGTCAATTTCGAACACCTGTACAATCTCTCGCTCCAAGCAATACTTGATGATGCCTAGGAGTGATAAACAAATCAAGTAATTTGAGCTTGACTTGTGTTCGTTAAAAATTCGTTTGAGCTCGATTCGTTAAATAAATAAGTCAAATTTAAACACATTTTAGAACTCATTAAGATTTTCAAACCAAACTTAGTCAATTGTTCATTAAGCTCGGTTTAATAAACTTAAAATTATATAAAAGATCAAATTATTCAAGTTCAGCTTGATAAAACTCGTTTGAGATCAATTTGAAAGTCTAACAAATCAAGATTAAATAAATTTTATAACTCGTTAAAATTATCAAATCAAATTTAAATAATTAACTGTTTATCTCATTTATCACCAGGCATGACCACCAAATAATTTTATCTTATTTTCTTACTTTATTTTTTTGAGAACCAGCAACTTGCTAGACCATCTTCAATGGTTATTCAATTTTGTCATCAAATTTGAATTTGATAAAAAATGGCTCATTTTCCTGTTTCAACGATTTTATCAAATATATATCAAATTCAGGATTTCACTTATCTTTCATCAAACTAAGAACCAATGTGTCTTTTATCAAATTATTATTCATGACCAATGTGCTTTTTTTATCAAGTTCAGGATTTTCATCATCTGATGTCTTTCTAAATGTCTCTCGGATGATCACGTCAAGAAAAAAATTACACCAGCCAATCAACCCCCTGTCGGTCCCCTTGTCGTCCGCCTGGTCAACCTCGAATAACCACTTTAAAACAAAAATTTATGAAAAAATTATACTGACTAGCCAATCGATCAAACATCTATCTAGCCATCCCTCTACTCAACTGATATTCTAATAAAATTTTAAAAACTTTCGTTATAATATTTGATATTAAATGAAATTTTTACTTAAATTTTTATTTTATTTAGTGAAAATTTTGATGACAGGTAGAGATGCTCTTGCACGAGAAAGAGAAGTATCTATGCTGTCTTCATCAATCAATCCAATCCCCACTTCTCCACTACTCTCCGTGGCATTCGTGGGCCCCACTCTCCTCCCTCCTCTCTCCTCTCTCTCTCAAATGACTCTGTGACTCGTCCCTCTCTCTCTCTCTGTGCCATGTTCTCAGCATATAAAAATGTCTCTCTCACAGTCTGCGAGTGCTCTCTCTCTCTCTAAAGCTCTCATTTTCTACTTCTTCAATGGTGAATGTTTTGTAGAAAGAAGCTTTTGTCCGAATTTCATTTTTCAGAGCTTCCAAGGTTTTTAAAGTAAGAGCTTCTCAGATTCACACTCTCAGTTTGTCCCTTTCTCAGGTATTGTTTTTGTTTGACTCTCTCTCTCTCGCTCTCTCTCTCTCTCTCTTTACTTTCTCTCTTTCTTTATAAAAGTCGATATTTTGCTGTAAAGTAAAATTTTCTGATTTTTTTTTTTGATAAACTCACTCACTCCTTTACCTTTTATATGTATACATATGTATGTGTGTAGTTCTAATCTATTATATGTATATCTGTTTTCTAAAAGGGTCTTCGTTTGGGAATTTCGATTTGTTTGACTCTAAAACTTTCAACATTTGCGGCTTTAAAATTGTTGATTTTTTCTACTGTTGGAAAACCCTTCAAAGTATGATTTCAAGTTGGCATTTTTTTTAATGTTTTTTGGGATTTTGTTCTCATGCTTGGACTGTTGAATTTGGTTCCAATATCATTAATTCTTTCAAATTTTAAAGCTTTTGAAGAACGACCCTCTCGGATTGCGACTCTGGTTGTGCCGACATTTCATTGGTTTGTGTGGGCGAATTGGGATTTGGTTTGAACAATCTAGAACTTGCTCATTCAACCCCATTTTTTGTTGATTATTTCTTGTGGTTCAAATTTGTGTAACAACCAGTTACTTAGAAATTAAAACCTCTGAAAGTTAGGGGTTTGAGATTGTACTTAAAGATTTTGTGGGTAATTGGCTCCTTCGTAGAAGAGAGATGGAGAATGATAGGAAGGACTGGAGGGAGATGGTGAGAAAGATGCTCCCTCCGGGTGCTTCTCTCCCAGAAGTTGAGTCTGACCTCGATTACTCAATAGCGATGGAGTATTCAGGGCCACCGGTTTCATATGAGCTTCCTAGAATTGAACCCCTTGAAGTAAATTCGACTGTGATTCGCACTGTGCCCGTAGTGGAGCCACTTTCTGAATCACGAAGGTCGGTGACCTGTGATGCCCCACCTGTAATTGAACCAATCCCTTTGCCGGTGTCTCGCCTTGCTGGTGTCACAAGCCCTCCTACTCAAAGTCCGAGAATCTCTGGAAGCTCGGAGTCTGTAGTGTCTGTGTTGCAAAACCCTGATTTTTCTTCTGCTTCCCCTTCAGCATCTCCGGGTTCTGTTCACAACCCTCCTAATAATTCTTCTAGACATCTAGTTAATGAAGGAAGGAGAGCCCCGGTTGTCACTTTCAATACTGTTGATAGATCGGAAAGAAAAGACATTGATGTGGAGAAACAAGTTTTTCCCAAATATGTTGGGGTTGTCAAGGAAAAGAAGAAGAAAATGAAAAGAAGAATCTGTTATAGGTGTGGAAAAGGGAAGTGGGAAACAAAGGAGTCATGCTTGGTTTGTGATGCCAAGTATTGCAGCAATTGTGTGCTTAGGGCAATGGGTTCAATGCCAGAAGGGCGTAAATGTGTTACTTGCATCAGTGAACCAATTGACGAATCAAAGAGGTCCAAACTGGGTAAACATTCAAGAGTATTAGCTCGATTGCTTAGTCCTTTAGAAGTCAAGCAAATAATGAAGGCAGAGAAAGAATGTGGCGCTAATCAGCTTCGGCCAGAGCAGCTGATTGTGAATGGGTTACCTCTGAAGCCAGAAGAGATGGCCGAATTGCTTGGTTGCGCTTTACCCCCACGGAAATTGAAGCCTGGTTTGTATTGGTATGATAAGGAATCAGGTCTTTGGGGAAAGGTAAATGCATCATTATTATGATATATATACAGGCTTTATTTCAACTCTGCTTTTATGTATAACGAATTATTCGTTTCTTGTGATAGCCAATGCTGACAGTAAGATTGTATGTGTTCATCTGACAGGTGGGAGAAAAACCAGATCGAATTATAAGTTCGAACTTAAGTTTTACTGGGAAACTTAGTTCTAACGCAAGCAATGGCAGCACTGAAGTTTACATGAATGGCCGGGAAATTACAAAACTTGAACTGAGAGTCCTAAAGGTCTGAATTCTTTCTCTTTTCAAAATTGAAGGGTGCATCTTATTATTTCGTTTTCCTGCTTGTTTGTGTAGACTGTTAACAAAGAAAGACTATTACTTGTGTATCCAGACCAGGCCACTGCTTGGTACAATGGTAAATGCATGTGCTAGGAAGTACAAAAAATGTGGGTTTGAGTTTGAGGCAAGCATTTTTTGCAAATGAAAGGCTTCCTCTGTACCCATCTATCCCCCCTCAGCATCCAGAATTGACAGGACTACCACTGGATAATGGCTTTTAATATGGTTTTCAATACAATTTGATGTCTTAGGGTGATGGTGTTCTTAAGGTAGTGGCCCTTATGGTTCCCGGAACCATTATGTACCCTTTTTATGCCCTAGTGTGAAAATTACAGAATCAACCTCTATATTCAGAATTGAGTTGCAGAAGTTTCTTTCTTTTTTTTTTTTTGGGTGCTTGGATCATATCATAGCGTCTGCATTTATGAGGATGTCCACATAGACATAGTTTTACCATATGGTTTAAGATTTTTGTTCTCCATGAAAAGCTGCCAGTATAGTGTCACCTAACTTCTCCGAAGTATGGCATTGGCATCTTTTGGTTGTACGGATTTATTTCTACATGACACATTTAGTACTGGTACTGCTTGGTAGCTGCTATCAAGCTAAAGGATTAATGAGCAAGAAAATAAATGCAGAGACACAGCCCTTGTGGTATTAAAGTTTCCTGCTAGACACTTAATCAATTGTCTCTTCCTTTCAGAGCTCAAGCCTATGTTAGTGAGCTCAAGTGCATTATTATTTTCTCGGGGAGGCAAATGCTCAGGCGTAAGTTGAAAGCTTCTATGTTGGAACTCATTTGAAAGGGCTGGTGGTCTTAAGAAAGATTTATATTTGGCCTTTCCCCTTGATTGAGCGTATATACCTGTGACCTCTCTAAAAAGGAAGAATGTGTAATTGTACGCAGTTTTAGCATTTCCGTTTTTGTATCATTTAGGATTAGCATTCCTAGAAAGAAAGAAGTATTACCACTGGTTATAACACTCACTTAACTCTATTTGTATTAGGCTGAGGACCTTTACCTTAAAAGCATACTTAAAATGATTCTAATTCACAGAGCGGGAGCAAGACTGTGATAGCATCCGTTGTGAAAATAAATTGAGAGCAAAAGCGCCCCTAGGGTGTGTATACATGTGTTTTATTGTAAACATATATTGATATAACTATATTTACTACATAATTTTAAATTTTTATGCATTCCTTGTGAAAAATGACCTTAGTTGCTGTTTACAAAGAATATGCAATGGTTATTGAATAATTAAATCATACTTTCAAAATAGATAACAAATTCTGTAGTGGTTCAGCGGTAACAGTCCACAGATTTGACACATTTTACTTGTGGCAGTCAACGATAGGTTAAAATAGAATTTGTATGAGATGCGCGGATTTGACCATAACAATCTGTGGATTTGATGTTGCCATTTTATGCACCTTGTATCCATCCCCATTATTATATTCAATTTCATGGTTACATAGAAGGGCTGTTTCTTATAGTTAATTTATACTCCATTTCTCCTATGGAGAGATCACCTCAGACTTTCACATTATAATTGCTTAGCCCCCTTTTCTTGTCTGTATCACTTGCTTCAGAGTGTGGTCCATGGTACTAAACTCTAACTTACGCACATCATTTTTCAGCTGGCTAACGTGCAGTGCCCACGTGACACTCATTTTTGGGTGTATGATGATGGTCGTTATGAGGAAGAAGGTCAGAACAATATCAGGGGAAACATTTGGGAGAAGGTATGTGTCCAAAGACTTCTAGTTGAATACATTTTGGAGATTATATTAGTGTGTGGGAATCCTTTATGAAACATTTAAAAATTCCCCTTTGTTAGACAGGCTTCAATACGGCTTGTTTGCACCTTGTTCTCTTTGCCTGTGCCCCATGGTCAGCCTCATGGACAAAGGGATGAGGCTAGCGCTTATACTACTGTTCCAAATTATCTTGAACAAAAAAAAATTCAGAAACTTCTTCTACTTGGGGCTCAAGGCTCTGGAACCAGCACTGTTTTTAAGCAGGTATTGCCATTTTTTGTGTACTCCAAATGGGCTGTGGTGTTTAAATATATAGCTATCAATAAATCTTGCAGGCAAAGCAGGTGGATTTTAGATGTGAATTGTTTGTAGGAAATGTTTATTCTAAGCTCTTCTGTTTACATGGTCTTTGAAATATGATTGTTGATTATTCATAGGACTAAATGTGCTTCTTTTTTGGTCAATAACTCAATGTGCCGGTGTTCTGTACTTACTTGCAGTCAATATGTTTTTAATATGTTCAGAGTAGTTTGATGTTCCTTTCTATAACTGATGTCTTTTTTCAAAAATGTCTGTGTGAAAATGGATGGTAATAGTGACTAATGATGGTGGACGAAGTTTCAATTCTAGAATAATTTCTCAAAGACAATTAAAATGTTATTTTCTGAAGTATTATTTAAAGTTCACCATCTAATATTCAACCACAATATGTTTATAATCAACTGTTTGCAAATTTCAGACGGTAAGTATCATAACCTATCCAAAATAGTAACATTAATACAAAACGATATGCTTCATGAACAAATCCAAAAACAATTAATATGGTTGTTTTATGATTTTGTTAAGATGGTTATTGTACGATTAATATGGTTACTTACAAAGTCTGTACTATGATCAATATGGTTATTGGATTTTGTTTATGCTTCATGAACAAATTTTTAGTAGTGTAAGGTATTGGAAGATATCAAGAAACCAACCTTTCGGGCTTTTGCACAATCCCAAAAACGATATTAATTGATTAGCAATAGTCTATAATATTTATTTCTCAACAAATATGAGAAACTTATATATATATATATCCTTGAAAATGGTGAAGATTTCTATGACTGATATCCTTGTATGTTCATCTCATGACCAGCTACATCTGGGAAGATGTGAATTTTAGCAGATTCCTATGTCTTTCCTTTTTCACTTTGCCCATTTTGTAGTGTTACTGTTAGAATTTTTTAGTAGTGTTTATACTAAATTTTCTTCTGTTCTTTATGCATCTGTTAACAGGCCAAATTTTTGTATGGGAACAAGTTTACTGCTGCAGAATTGCAGGATATTAAGCTTATGATTCAAAGCAATATGTATAAATATCTTAGCATACTGCTTGATGGACGGGAGCGCTTTGAAGAGGAGGCCCTGCCAAAGATGAAAGCACTAGGTTCTCATGATCAAACTACCGAGGCAGGTACATACAATCGATAAAGTTGCTATATTAATCTATTTCTCATGTTTGAGTGGTCAAACCATCATTTTTCACTTTGGATAATGCTAATTAAACAAGACATGATCACTTGAAGCATTATTGTATCAGGGCATGTCTACAAGGGTAAAAGTTCTTTTATCTCTCTTTTTTATTTGTTCTGCTTTTCCAAGCTTTTCTCGTAAGAAGAAGGGTTTCTGTAATCTAGATTTTATAAGTAGCTTTCATATAATTTTTTTTTTTTATTCATTCATTCATCTGAGGGACTGAAAATTGTATTCAATCATGTCGCAGATGTCGATTCCAGTGGGAATAGTCAATGCATCTACTCCATCAACCCTAGGTTGAAGCATTTCTCTGACTGGCTCCTAGACATTATAGCCACTGGTGATTTGGATGCATTCTTCCCCGCAGCAACGCGCGAGTATGCTCCACTAGTTGAAGAGGTTTGGAAGGATCCTGCTATACAGGAAACATATAGGAGAAAAGATGAGCTTCATTTCCTTCCTGACGTTGCAGAATACTTCTTGAGCCAGGTATGCATTTAACTTTAATTATTTATCAGATGTTTTAACTACATAGGCAAATTATAGAATTAAAAAACCTTACTTCCACCAAGTTTTCTGCTTCGAGTTCCCGTTTCTTTTCTATTTTTCCAACCACAAATATAGTCATTTACATGTATGTTATTGTATTCATGTGTATTTGAACTTGGTTCTTCACAGAGCAACCAAAAAGAAAACTAGTAGAATTAGGGTAGAATAAGGAGTTTTTAAGTAAAAAATCAAAGGAAAAAGATTGTGCACAAAATTTCAGTTAGTTAATCAGTAACTTTTGTATTGTAACACTACCAGTTTTCGTAATCTATTACTGATCAAGAGAAAAGCCACTCATCTAACTAAAGCTATCTAATTATGTTCCACTATGTGATCTATATAAACCTAGCCCTCTATATCCCCCATTGAAGAGTATGTGGTTGATGTATTCTTGTTTGAATTACGTTCCAATAATGTTTCATTATTGTCTTCACCCTCTGCTCCAATTTATGGATGGGCTATATATATATAAATTAGAAGGTCGTTATTGTTCTCGGATGGCTACTTAATCATGTCCTGTATTAGGCTGTTGAGGTGTCAAACAATGAATATGAGCCTTCAGAGCGAGACATACTATACGCAGAAGGGGTTACCCGAGGGAATGGTTTGGCTTTCATGGAGTTCTCCCTAGATGAGCGTAGCCCAATGTCTGAAACCTACACAGACAATATGGATGCTGCACCCCCACCTCTAACCAGGTAATTGTTGCTTCCTCTATTCGTCATATCTCATATGTGATGCTTTCACTTCAAAGGCAGATTGATTTTATCCACAATTGCTTTTGCTGCTGAGAATTATTAGCAACTTCGATGGTAGAATATATGACTGGAATTCAACAGTCCATTTTTTGACTATCAAATGATAAGAGTTGATTAGTGTTTGGGGTGAGCTAAATAAGCCAAAAGTCTGTTTGTCATAAGCTAAAAAGCCATTCAGATTTTTTTTTTCTTTTCCCTTTTGCCTGGCAATTCAATTATTGTTAATCTACCCTCAAATGTTTTGTTTTATAGATACCAACTTATAAGAGTAAATGCCAAGGGTATGAACGAGGGCTGCAAGTGGGTAGAAATGTTTGAAGATGTCCGCGTGGTAGTTTTTTGTGTATCATTGAGCGACTACGATCAGATGTACCTTACCCGGGAAAATAGTGGTAGTGTGTCCCTTCTTCAAACCAAGATGACACAAAGCAAAGAGCTGTTTGAAACAATGGTCAGTCATCCCTGCTTCAAGGATACCCCCTTTGTCTTGATCTTAAACAAGTACGATATCTTTGAAGAGAAGGTCAATCGTATACCTCTAAGTGCTTGCGAGTGGTTCACTGATTTCAGCCCGGTGCAACCGAGCAACAACAATCAGTCACTGGCTCACCAAGCTTACTACTACGTCGCCATGAAATTTAAAGACCTTTACGCCTCTCTCACAGGTCGAAAGCTCTTTGTGTGGCAAACTAGGGCAAGGGACCGAGTGACAGTTGATGAGGCATTCAAGTATATAAGGGAGGTTCTAAAGTGGGATGAAGAGAAAGATGAGAACTATTATGGCATGCAAGAGGATTCATTTTACAGTACAGATGTGAGCTCCTCACCATTTGTGAGGCAAGAGTGAGGTAATTAAAACATTTAACATATATTTGCTGTGTAGATAGAGAGGTAAAAGGGAAGGTCCAATAAGTTTACTTGTTTTTTTTTATTATTATTTTTTCAAAACACATTGGTGGTGTTGCTTCAAGAATCATTTTGTAGAGTCATGTTACTCTGCTGTCCAAGTGTATATTAGAGCTCCAGATCCAGTTTGTGAAATGATGCAGAAGAGTGGTATTATTGTACTTCGTATTCTTTCTCAAGAATTCAATGTCTTCACATTATCATGGTATTTTTGCTATCAGAATCTTGAGCAGATAAGGATGTAAGATTAGGGCTATAAAACAAGCAAAGCTACTTGAATTTGACTTGCGCTCGGTCCATTAAAAGCTCATTTGATATCAGTTTGTTTATTTTGTAAACTAACCAAGTTCAAATATTTTTTGAAATTTAATGCGATTTGATAAATTTATATATATTACAAGAAAAAGAAAGAAAAAAAAAAGTAACACTGAAGTTCAACTTGATTAAATTTGATTTGAGCGCAAGTTTTAACAAGTCATAAACCAAATTTAAACAATTTATTTAAAAAAAAACACAAAACTGTGGAATGACTTGTGCAGCAAAATTTATGCTAATAAGAGCTCCACAAAGCTATAAAGTAATATGATAATGTGAAATTTAGCCAAAACCTTTCTATTTGACCCTTTCTTTGGTGAAAATGACGCCTAATTTATTTTGTTTCATAAACTCCTTTAAGAGAAAATACATAATTGAGTAAGGACAAAGTAAAATATTGTCTTTTTTTTTTTTCTTAAACAATATTACCAAAGTAACATAACATGTTACTGTGAAACAGAGTAATATGTTACTATGAAACATCAATTTTGACGGTAATAATTTTTTTTTTTTTTTAAATTTCATAGTCAATATAGATCTTATTTGATAAATCTTGATAAGAGAATTCTAAAAATACTAATTTTATTAAAAATCAACATCTACATCAAAAGTTATATTATTTTAAAGTTTAATATTTTGATAATAATAATATATATTGGATTTTTCAAAAAAAACAAAAATTATACTTATTCTTAATACATTAAAATTTTATTATGAGAGATTTTGACCAAATCCCCACGATTATTTCTCACCAGAAAACAAATGTGTGAAAAGAGCTAACAGAACTTTTTCTCTACCCCCAAAATAATAATAATAATAATAATTAAAAAATACTAAAAAACCAACGGCCAAACTAAATAATAAAAGATTTAAAATCTTGCTGCATGCAAAACTTTCCCTTTTCAAGATGGTGTAAAAAAAAATGGTTAGGCAGAAGACAGAAATAAATAAAATAAAAAAAGGGACAATTTCATTTCAGTGTATCTTTAGAAAAATATTTTTAAATTAAACCTCGTTTAAGAATATATTATTTTAATAATTTTTTAATTTTTAACTAAAATATGAGATAAAAAAATTATTTAGTGTGTTTGATTTGAGTTTTTTCGATTAAATTTTTTGAAAACTAATTTTTTTTAATTTTCGTATTTTTTTTGTTTTTAGTGAATATTTTTAAAATTTTAAACATTTTTTTTACTTTTTTAGATGACCTTACTTAGATGTATCTAAAAAATAAAAAATTTATGAAAAAATATTTTCAAAAATTAATAAATACAAAAAATGTACTAAATTCTCTTTTTTTTTTTGGTATTTAGTGAATTTTTAAAAGATTTTTTTTACAATTTTTTTACTTTTTAAATATATTTATGTTAGGTATGTTTAAAAAGTAAAAAAAAATACTTAAAATATTAAAAAAAATTCAGTAAAAACAAAAAAATACGAAAAATAAAAAAATAAAATTTTCTAAAAAATGTTTTTGAAAAAGTAGAACCAAGCAAAGTGATTATGCTTATAATAATTTTTTGATTTTTTACGAAAATATATACAAAAAATAATGATAAAAAAATCTTTAACTTTTTAATATAGTTTATAAACTTTTTAATTTTTTTAGTAACTTTTTAACTTTTAAGCTAAAACTGTAACACGCCAAACAAAGCCTTAGTGGAAGTAAAATCATAACTTCTTCATGACTTTGTAATTAATTTTTGGCAAATCCTTACACGTAAAATCTCCTAAAAAAATCAGACGCAGACTTCCCATTTATAGCGTCTCCTCCATGTTTCAATCCCATTCAAAATGACACTTTGAAAACAAAATCCCACTGTTATCCGGAAATAATTAGTAAATAACCTGTGAAAATAGTGAAATAGAAATTCAATTCATCCACCAAATTATAGATGATATCAGAATGTAACTCTCAGAAGATTTCCACTACATTGTTCGACAAATAACCCACTAAAAGAGTGAAACAGCCGTTTTTAAAGCGACTCACTGGGTCTGTCAACATGCCACAGTAAATCTGAAAAATTAGAAGTACAAGAGAAGCTGATCCTTTCAAAACAAAAAAAAAAATAATGCAAGAAATAATTAAAGCAAAATATGTAATGAAGCATACAAAGATGGCCCAAGCAACTAACAATGTTTCTTCTTTGCAGCAGTTACTGGTTCTTCTTGGGCGTTAAAAAAAACGATTGTTACAGAGAACAGGAAGGAACTCAAGGAACAAACACTAAGATGCAACTAGATCAGGTGTTTCTGCCTCTACAGATAACAAAGCGGTGTGTACTTTGTCCACCCAATTGTCCAGTCGATCACGCAGAGATTTTATCTGTGGAACGCCTAATACTCTTGGTTGCACCCATGAAACGTGGACGGTTCCCTCAACTTGATCAATTATCCCCTCGATGAGATGAACCTGCAGTGAAATTCTCCAATGTTTAAACCTTCGAATAGACAAACTTCCATAGAATTTCAAAAAGACAAGTGATAATATGTGTGGAGAAAGTGAGAGACAAAGAAAAGATTCAGCACTGCTGGTAACATCTTCAAGGTGGAATTTATGAGATTCAGTGTAGCAAATGTTGCACCAGAAATGAGAATGCATTCGCAGATGGTGATTCACTTTAATTGAAATTTTATTCAGCTAAAACCCAAGCTACTTGTATTGTATGCATGTATGAGACAAACCCACCCTTCTTTTTTTAAACTTTAGCTTTATTTCTGTTTAGGATTTAAGCAAAGCATAATAGTTCCTTTTCTCAAGCAATTCGTCTACTCCTGTTCCCAATACGTTTTTTTTAATTTCAGCAAAATGATTGTTTTATATCATCCATATGAGCATTTAGTTACAAATCTATTGATTGAATAGAAGCTAGCAGTCGCTATTTTCAGTTGTAGGAGCAAGTTATGCAGTGAGACCCAACACGCATCATATATGCAATAAGAAAGAAAACAAACAACTGAAGAGTGAATGAAACTACTCGTATGAAATATATCTTGATCAATATTGTGTGTAAAGGACGCTGGTTTTCGTAGTGCTGATTCAATATAGGGACTTACAGAAAGGCTTTTCATGAGAAGATACTCCACATCCTCCACAGTAAGTTTTGTGCGTTCTGCAATGATACTCAGTGGAATGGTTCTATCTTCTGATGGTCGACTGCAAGGAACCAACATCTCAATTAAATTTGGTAAACATGAAAAGCTGATAACATTTAGCAACAATGGCTCTCTAACACACCTGAAGATGATTTCCATCAAACAGAGAATGTTAATCTTTTCTAGGAGCTTTTTCTCGTTCTCCACTAGCGCTGGTTGAGCACTCAGAGCAGCTCTATGCACTTGGCACAATTCTTGGTAACGAACTAAATCACCAGAGTTGAATGCTTCAAGAATATAGTAGAGCCATTCAACCTTTGTCCCCAGAAGACTCTTTATCTGTATCAATTGAAGCACGTCATAATCAACAATAAGTACAAATTTACTGAAGGGCAAAGTGCAAAGCCAATAATGTGTTCATGCCAGTCCCATCCAAAAGAAAATGTGTTGTGAAGAAATGCAACAAAACTCAAAGAAAATCTCAGGTAAAGAATGTCAGAACCCTTATGTTATCTTCGACATTACCAATACTTGAAATATGCCCCAAAAAACATAAAATCTTATTTTGGTCTTACAATTAAATTGTTTTTTCTGCTTACCCAACAGCATATCTTTGGAGCAAATACCATACAAACACAATACCCATCAACCCCCTTTATAACCCACCTCTCTGTAGGATACTATACTACTTTCAAGTTGCCAAATATTCTTTATTTAGGTATAATTGCTCTGCACTATGTATATCACCATAGTACTAGTCATAGCGAAAAATATATTTTATGCATTCCTATTGATCCACCCACACATCATTTTATAAAATCATTACCAGGAGTTGAACTCCTGGCTAACTGGTCATGGTGCTCACTTGTCCTGCTACCATACACAATAAGTGCAGTGATGAAACAAGTGGAAATTTCATGTTTCCATATTTAAAAGTTTCGCCTTTCCAAGAACATGCTCACTCATATTTTTTGTTTCAGATTAAACTCAACACTATCTCAGCCACAACCTTCCCATATACACATTGTAAACCACCACTATTGCATTCAGTGCAACAATTTTACTCAGCCAACAATCACATAACTGGGAGAAAATTATCAGGCTCTTTTTCCAAGTTTCTGGTTTTGAGATGAAGTATGCTAGCGCCTTCAGTGTTTACCTTTAAACATATGCAGATGTTTGAGCAACCATTCCTTTTTGAGTTTTGATATGACATAACATGAGTGCAAACTCTACACAAGCCATGCAAACATTTCCTTTCCATATTGATTTTTGATCTATGGACTCCTTGTTTCAAAATTCCACATTTTAAAGAACAAATGCTTCCAATTGATTATAAATCAAAGCATCTCTTACTGAGACAATCTCTTTCGTTGCATCATTGTTCTATGGAAGCTTTATACCTATACTAAAGCAGTTCGGCAATGGTTCAAGTATGGCCTACTTGTGATCAACCACACCAGCATATAATTTATTGGTTCCATAACAAGCAGGAAAAAAATGAATTAACTGTAAAATCAAGTGCACAATAAAAAAAATCCAGTATGAAAACATACTTAACTACAACCAAATAAACAATGCGCTTCAGCATTCCCACAGACACTCAGCATTCCAAATATGCAATTTGTATGACAAGCAACAGTACAAGGTTACTGCCCAAAACTCATACAATACCATACCCAACAGAGAGATGCAATGCGTGTCAAGAGCAACAGTATGAGTCTATGATGATAGCACAAAACATCCATCATGTAACTCATACACTCTGTCGAAATAAGAGAGGGAAATAAAAGGAGGAAGGAGAAGAAAAGAACCCCTTATATTAGGATTTTTTACTCTCATTTTATTAATCTATTTTGCTTCTTGGTGTTGGTCCCCTTAAATTAAGGCATGTGTAGTTTTTAAACATGATCAAGTCTCAATCCTAGCCAATCACAGTCGAATAGAAGTTCAATCACATTGACTTTATCTATAAATATAGAAATGGGAATCAAGTCCCTGAACATACTTTTCACATGCAACAGGTGGTGTAAACAATATATTTACACAGTAAACGATGCACTCAATATAAGAGTAGCTTAAGTCATCATGACAACAAAAAAAGCAAACACTCTGCTTATTTCTAGTTTTCAGAATTCACTTTTCAGAAAATTTTACTTTTTCATTTTCCGTATTTTTTTTTCCACTAAATTTTTTTAATATTTTAAGCAATTTTTTTTAATTTTGAGAGACACCTAACATAAATGCACTTAAAAAGTATAATATTTGTGAAATTTTTTTTTAAAAAATTCACTAAATACCAAAAAAAAAAAAACGAAAATTCAGTATATTTTTCATATTTTTGTATATTTATTAATTTTTTAAAATATTTTTTCACAAAAAATTTAATATTTAGATACATCTAAGTAAGGTACATCTAAAAAAGTTTAAAAAAATTGCTTTAAATTTAAATATATTCTCTGGAAAAAAAAACACAAAAAACAAAAAACTCAATTTTCAGAAAACTGAATTCAAAAACTTAAACCAAGCACACTGAAAATAACTCAGAGGAAAGACACCCCTAAAAAAATAAAAAAATACTTACAATTGGATGTGCAAGCAGTTCCCCAAAGTTGTATATGTTTTCTCCAAGCAAAGCAGACAGGGATAAATCAAATGCCAAATCCTAAAAGATAATAGAGAGTTAATAACCAGCAGATGGAACGGGCATGCAATCACTCAAGAAAACATTAAAACAATCCACAATAACCAATTGAAATTCACTTTATGTTGAATCACTTTTCTGTCATTATATGTTTAACACACATCTTGGTAACAAAACAAATTCCAGTGTGAACTAAAATGCAGATTGATGTTTTGTTTGAAAAATCTACGAATAAAGATTTGATTTCCATGTCACAAGGGGGAAAAGATCTGTATCAACAAAAGACTCTTCTAATGTTCTATTCTTTCAGTTACTGTTAAACAACCAATCTGAATATGATCAAAATACAAAGCTACAAGTACTCCTTGCACACAAGAGTGATTTACAGAAAAAATAAAGGCTCTTGTCAACTCAAACAAGAAACTAATGGTTGCCAATTACCTTGATTGTCAAAACATAGAGGATATTTTTCCAACAACACACTTGATCATCATAACAGAGAAAAAATATTTTCCAAACAAATCCATTTTATAACTCTATCCAAACTAGGCAACAACAAGAGATAATAGAATAAAATTTACAAGAAAATTAAAAAATACAATAAGTGGATAATATTGAAACATGCTTTGATAATATCCATTCATAGCAACAAATTCTAACCACCTTCTAGTTTGTCATGAAAAGTTAGCCTTAGTGAGTAATAGCATAGGAAATCATCAAAGACGTCATGAAGCTTTTGTAAAATAATAAAAACAAACACATGATTGCATACCAGCTTAAATGATTCTGATAGAGACTCCACTGATGTGTATGCCAGATAAAGAAGAGCACTTTTGTAAAATTCAGCAAATTCCTGTCGAGATTTGTAATACTGAGATGAAACCCAATAATAGTTAGCATACACAGTTGGATCAATGTCAGTCATGCTGTCAAGAGTGCTCTTTCCATCTTCTAGAAGTTTCTTGCACTCTTTTTGGGTGCCTTTCTCAAGGTTGAAGATAGCAATTTGCATCTTAATGTAAAGGATTGGTTCCTCAATGCGCATCTCCCTCGTAGCACGAAGCTTTTCAATCACCCCTTCAAGATAACTAATGGCAGCTTCTTTCTCTGGATACTGCCGAGAAACTATGACAGCAAAATGTGCGAGCTTGAGAAGATTGATCTTGGTCTCAAAGTCAGTGATGAAATTATGATATAACTGTATGAGAGCATCACCAGCCTGATGATAATGAAAAAAATAAAAAAGAAAAAAAAAGAGGTGTTACATGCACATAAACAGAAAAATTAATGCAATGTGTTTAAGCATGTTTTCCAGTAAGCACAAGCAGAAACTCATGTAGAATCAGCTATGCTACCATCAACACATAAAAAAAAGACAGTAGAGAAAGCAAAACAAGATTCAATTAAAAGTACGATCCAACCAAAAAAACTCAAAAACATCATATACAAGACATAGATAACTGATAGAAACTTCAGTTTCATTCCCATTACTAGTTGGTGATAAACAATCTAACCTTATCAACTTCAGTTACATGCATATTTTTCCTAGTCCATGTCATATGGCAAGCAGAGCACTTTAACCAAAGCTTATAAAAGGGTTTGAACTCTGACTTCCCATAAAGGTTTATGCAACGCCCAACTAGAAGTGTGAAACTTCCAACATCCCCAAAGTCACACTTCAGTTCCCTTCAAGTCATCCAAATTGCAACTCTCTTTCTTTCATGTTACAAATAAGGCAATGTGCAACCGTCTGGTAAGGTGTGGCATTCAATCAAACAAACAGCCTTGATGCCAATTGAAAGTTCTCTTCTCCAAATAACATAAACGATTTCCGGTGAAATCAGACTGACATCTGTGAAGCAACATGTAAGTGTCCTAGTTCATCGGGTGTGAACCTTGCATGATAGCATCTATTGCTGTGTTACATGGACTCCTCTATTTCCACAAAGTACCCGTGTTCACTGGATATGACATGGGTAAGGATGTGGGAGATGTGTCCAACACTCATACCCAATTTAGACACTAAGATCCTTTAATTTGTTACAATCTATGATGCACGGACACGGGGATACGCAAATTTTCAAAAAATGTAAAATCCAAATTTTTATGTGTAGAATTATTTTTGGATAAATTAGTAATTAAATTAATTTATATGGGTCATTTTAGTAACATCAAGGAATTAGTTATGAGGTGGTTTTTTTTTTAATTTTTATTACTTAGATGGTTAAGTTTGTAATTTTGGGAGATTGGGTTATAGGCCCACTTGGGCTTTAGGTCTTGGAAACATAGAATCACAAACAAATAGAGGTAGTGATGTTGTTGTGGCTGCTGCGGCAGATCTAGCAATATAGAAAAAAAAAAAAAACAAAAAAAGGAGAGAAAAGAAGAAGAAGTAAAGAAAAGAAAGAAGATTCATAGGTTGGTGACTTTGATCTAATCATCTCTTGGAGGTAAGATTTGTTTTTATGGTACTCCTAACTATTTCTTTAGCCAAAACACCATAGCGAGAGAGAGAGAGAGAGAGAGCAGATAGCGATCAATAGTCAAAGGAGAGGGCCGAAACACCATAGCGAGAGAGAGAGAGAGAGAGAGAGCAGAGAGGGAGACGACATAGACGAGGAAGACGACATAGACGAGGAAGACGACACAGACGAAACAAAGAAAGAAGAAAAAAAATGAAGAAAAACAGAAGAAAAGAAGAAGATCGAAGAAGAGATTTGAAGAATCGAAGAACATACCTGATCTAGGGCTTCATTTCAACAGGTTCTTCACCCTCTCTCTCTCTCTCTCTTTCTGCAACAGGTTAGGGTTTCTCTCCCTCTCTGTCCATAGTGTGTCTAACAGTGTCCAAACGAGTATCCAGCTGCAAAAAATTTTAAAAAAAAAGGGACACGTTGGGTAGAGTGTCAAACACGTGTCCACCGCGTGTCCGTGTCTGACACCCAAACGTTGCCTTAGGAGACGTGTCCGTGCTACATAGGTTACAATATATGAAGAAGAAAAAAAACTCACATTTGCTAGCAAAGCACTATTTTTAACCTCATATGAATTAAATATAGAAATTTTAGGCCGCGTTTGGTTTAGTTTTGGAATTGTGATTCTCTTTTTGGAGTTGTGATTTGAGGGTGGAATTGTGAATTGAGTTTTGAAAAGAGAAAATTTGTTTGGCTATGAATTTTAAAAAGTGTTTTGAAAGGTGTTTTTGAATTTTGAATTTTGAAAAGAACGGATTAGGTCTACCCGGTCATCTGCCCGGATTTGTTTTTTTTGAGCAATTGCAACCATTTATTTGAAAACAAAATTTTATACTTGTTTTAGATATATTTTAAATATAGAAATTAATTTTTTTAGATTTTTTATAAAAATAATTTAACAATCTCATCACTAATCATCTTCAACACTATATCATCAAAAGAGTTTTGAAAAAAGTTTTGAAAAGAGTTTTGAATTAAGTTTTGTGTTGTGTATTTGGTTATGAGTTTTAAAATTAGTTTTTAAATTGAGCTTTGTGTAATTTTGAGTTATGTGTTTGGTTATGAATTTTGAAAAGTGTTTTGAAAATTTTGCCTTTGGATTCCAAAGGCAAACCAAAAGGAGCCTTATATTTTTCCTTAACCCTATTTAATTTCTAATATATTTTTATATAATTTGCAACATCTTATCAGAGAATATTATATCATATGCAATATAAATGTGTACATAGGAATGGCAACGGGCCGGGGATTACCCTCCCCGTCCTCGATCTCCGAAACTACCATGTTCCCCGTCCCCAGCCCCGATCCCCGACGGGAAATCCATCAACCCCCCCAGCCCTGCCCCCTACGGGGATCGGGTTTCCTCGACCCCGGTTTATCCCCGTACTCATCATCAACATCATCAAAAAAAAAAAGTTCAAAAATCATCAACAAAAACATCATCAACGGCAGCAAGCAACATCATCAAAAAAAAAATAAAATAAAATTCATCAACACATCATCAAGGCAGCAACATCATCAAAAAATAAAAATAAAAAATAAAAAAAGTAGAGACAAATCTGGCGGAGGTGGGACGAAGTCGACGGTGGTGGTGGCGGTGGCGGGATCTTCTCAAATCTGTCGTGGCAGAGAGAGGAGGCGGAGGAGGAGACGAGAGGCGACGCCGACGGAGGAAGAGGCGAGAGGCGACGGAGGACGAGGCCGGGAGAGATGACGGAGGAGAGACTGAGTGAGTGAGAGGGATGAGATACGATGAGGAAAGGAAGAGAGATCAGAGGAGGTGAAAAGAGAGAGAGAGAGAGAGAGAGAGAGAGAGAGAGATGAAAGAGATAAGAAGAGAGAGAGAGTGTAGATATTTTAATGAAAGAGATGAGGCAGAATCAGTATAAAGCATATTATATTATATATATATGTAATACGTCAGGGACAGCCGGGCCGGGGCCGGGGATTTGGCACTTATCACCGTTCCCAGCCCGAAATTAATCGGGGAATAATTTTTGAATACCATCCCCGTCCCGTCGGGGGTATTTTTTGGGAAAAAACCGTTCAAATCGGGATAGGGGGATCGGGTCCCCGTTGGGCCGGTTTCAAATTGCCATCCCTACTTTGGCCTTCAAATTTAGAGTTACCAGTAAAATTATCGAATAAACTACACACCATATAAGTCATACTTCATGGATGTAATGTGTAACCAAGGTTTTAAAAATTGGACCGATGAGTGAACTGGAAAAAAGATTCGGGTGGACGGGTCACCAGTTCAACCGTTGGGTTGAATTTTTTTATTTTTCGCACAATTTGAAAAAAACTTACCGATACGCATATTTTTTTTCCATGATCATATTTAGGCCAAGTTTGGCAACCCAAAAATAATCCATCTTTTTATCTTTTTTCATCACATCACCTCTCTACTTTTCTGCACATCTTTTCGTAAAAAAATAAAAAGTGCACTTATTTAGGTCATCCCAAGCAACCCGTTATTAGGTTTAAAATAAATATTGGTCATTTTTTGTAAATTTTTAAGTATGATCCAATATATTTTACATTTTTAAATCACTATAAACTAAGTTTTTTACATTTTATTTTAATAATTAATGACTTTATATTATACAAAAAAAATCAATCACTAACTATTGTATATAAGATAAACAATGACAAAAGTAAAAGAATAAATAAGAGCCTAAATATATATATATTTTAACCAAGCCAAATAGATAATGACCACACTTATTATTATTATTAAACAATATATAGATAGACACACACAAACAAAATGATTGAGTGATAGCAGCTGAATAGAATAGCATAGGTTTTACAGGTTCAACAAATCAATAACATGTTCTTCATCTTCCCTCTTCTTTCTCTCTATCTCTTTAAATAAAAATAATTTATTTAAACAAATAATAATATCTAAAAAATAGAAAAAAGGAAAAGAAAAAAAAAGAAAAAAAAGATTTTTGTTCAAATATATATCTAGTATATAATATATATACTATTATTATTAGTATATAAATATATATATGTATATATATTATTAGTATATAATGTATAGAGCGATCGACGGTCAAACGAGGGCGCCGAAACACCATAGCGAGAGAGAGAGAGAGAGCAGATAGCGATCGATAGTCAAAGGAGAGGGCCGAAACACCATAGCGAGAGAGAGAGAGCAGAGAGGGAGACGACACAGACGAGAAAGACGAGGAAGACGACACAGACGACGCAGATGAAATGAAGAAATAAGAAGAAAAATGAAGAAAAACAGAAGAAAAGAAGAAGATCGAAGAAGAGATTTGAAGAATCGAAGAACATACCTGATCTAGGGCTCCATTTCAACAGGTTCTTCACCCTCTCTCTCTCTCTCTCTGCAACAGGTTAGGGTTTCTCTCCCTCTCTGTCCATAGTGTGTCTAACAGTGTCCAAACGAGTATCCAGCTGCAAAAAATTTTTAAAAAAAAGGGACACGTTGGGTAGAGTGTCAAACACGTGTCCACCGCGTGTCCGTGTCTGACACCCAAACGTTGCCTTAGGAGACGTGTCCGTGCTACATAGGTTACAATATATGAAGAAGAAAAAAAACTCACATTTGCTAGCAAAGCACTATTTTTAACCTCATATGAATTAAATATAGAAATTTTAGGCCGCGTTTGGTTTAGTTTTGGAATTGTGATTCTCTTTTTGGAGTTGTGATTTGAGGGTGGAATTGTGAATTGAGTTTTGAAAAGAGAAAATTTGTTTGGCTATGAATTTTAAAAAGTGT